TTTTTTTTCATTTTTTTTGTGTTTTTAACAAAAGCTAAAGATTAATAAGCAATAAAATTAAAGAAAGAGCAAGAAAAGTAGGTGGGTTGCCTCCCATAAGCTGCCCGATTTAACGTCTTTGGCTAGACGAAACTAGGAAGAGTTCTAAGGTTCGGCTTCTAGTTCTAACTCCTCCACTAATCCTGCAAATCCTCCCTCACGAAAAAGTTTTAACCTATGACCATTTACCTTGAAAGTAACTCCAGAGGATTCATTCTTAATGTCTACCGCTCCATGGTTATAAGTTTTAATAACGGTGTAGGGTCCTAACCATCTAGAGCTAAGTTTTCCTGGAAAAAGTCTAAGCTTAGAGTTATAAAGAAGAACTTTATCTCCTATCTCAAAGTATTTTCTAGAAAGCTTAGAGTCATGAAAGGCTTTTGCTTTATCCTTATATATCACTGAGTTATCATAAGCTTCTAGTCTAATCTTCTCAAGCTCTTGAATCTGCAGTTTTCTGTGTTTTCCTGCCAAATCATAATCAAGATTAACCTGTTTAACAGCCCAATATGATTTATGTTCAAATTCTACCGGAAGGCGACAAGGTTTTCCAAACACTATCCTGTAGGGAGACATACCTAGAGGAGTCTTATATGGAGTTCTATAGGCCCATAAAGCCTCGTCTAATCGATCGCTCCAATCTTTCCTATCCGGTCTCACTACCTTTTCTAAAATACTCTTCACTTCCCTATTGCTTATCTCGGCTTGTCCATTGGTTTGGGGGTGATAGGCAATGGAAATCCTATGGGTGATATGATACTTAGAGCAAAGGTTCTCTAATGTTCTATTGCAAAAATGAGTGCCTCTATCACTAATGAGAATCTTAGGAAAGCCATATCTAAGGATTATGTGAGATCTAACATACTTAGCCAGAGTGTGAGCATCATCTTTCCTGGTGGGTATAGCTTCAAACCACTTAGACAGGTAATCAATAAAGAGCAAAATGTAAACATAACCATAAAAAGGAGGAAAAGGACCCATGAAATCAACACCCCATACATCAAACAGTTCACACACATAAATAGGAGTCAAGGGCATTTGATTCTCAGTGGAAAGATTACCAGTTTTTTGGCATTTAGAACATTTGTTACAAAAATCAGCAGCATCTTTATGTATAGTAGGCCAATAAAAACCAGATTCCATTGCTTTATGGGCTGTCCTATATGGTCCAAAATGTCCACCACTCTCTAAGGAGTGGCAAAAATTCAGAATAGAAGGAATCTCAGAGTCATCTACGCATCGTCTAATAATCTGGTCAGAGCATATTCTCCAAAGATAAGGGTCATCCCATATGTAAAATCTATCTTGAGACAGAATTTTTTCACGTAGGGACTTAGGCATATAACGAGGAAAAGTCTTGGTAACCTTAAAATTAACAATCTCAGCAAACCAAGGGATGGTAGAAAGTGCCAACAGACTCTCATCTGGAAAGGATCCTGTGAAATGACTAGGATTGGACGGTGGTACTTCTAAACGACTAAGGTGATCAGCAACTTGATTAAGTTTACCTGCCCTATCTTTAATTTCAAAAACAAATTCTTGCATTAAAAGAATCCACCGGATGAGTCTAGGTTTGCTATCCTTTTTGCTCATTAAATACTTAAGTGCAGAATGATCAGTGTGAATGTGTACCTTAACACCTAAAAGATATGACTTAAATTTCTCAAGCCCAAATACAACAACATACATTTCCTTCTCAGTAACTGTGTAATTGACTTGGGCAGGGTCAAGGGTACAACTAGCATACTGGATTACATAAGAGGCAGTGCCTAACTTCTGTCCTAAAACAGCTCCTACGGCTCTATCGCTAGCGTCACACATCAATTCAAAAGGTAAATCCCAATTAGGAGCTTGAACAATAGGAGCAGAGCACAATTTATCCTTCAAAGCAACAAAAGCAAGTTTACATGCATCATCAAACAGAAAAGGCACATCTTTAGAAAGTAAAGCAGTTAACGGAAGAGCAATCTTCGAAAAATCTTGAATAAACCGCCTATAAAACCCTGCATGTCCTAAAAAGGATCGAATGTCCTTAAGGTTTTTGGGATAAGGAAGGGTCTTAATAAGGTCTACCTTAGCGGGATCAACTTCTAAGCCCTGTGCAGAGACTATGTGTCCTAGAACTACCCCCTTTTCCACCATGAAGTGACATTTTTTGTAGTTAAGAACTAGATTTGACTCAATACAGCGTTTAAGAACCAGATCCATGTTTTGAAGGCATTGGTCAAAGCTATTTCCATACACTGAAAAGTCATCCATGAAAATCTCAACAATCTTGGTGGAAAATTCAGAAAAAATGCTCATCACACACCTTTGAAAGGTAGCGGGAGCATTACAAAGACCAAACGGCATTCTCCTAAAGGCAAAGGTACCTATCGGGCATGTAAAAGTTGTTTTTTCTTGGTCTTCGGGGGCTATAGGTACTTGGATGTAACCAGAGTACCCATCTAAGAAACAATAATGAGACTTTCCAGAAAGTCTCTCTAACATCTGATCCATGAAAGGAAGAGGAAAATGGTCCTTCCTTGTTACTTTGTTAAGCTTCCTATAGTCAATACATACCCTCCACTTATTGGGTTTCCTAACAGTGATGGTCTCACCTAATTCATTAACAGTCACGGTGGCTCCTCCTTTCTTAGGGACTACGTGGATTGGACTTACCGAAGGGCTGTTTGCTATAGGGTAGATAACATCATGTTCAAGCCACTTAAGGATCTCTTCTTGAACGACCTCTAACATAGGTGGATTAAGCCTTCTAGGGTTCTCTACATTAGGTATGGCATCAAGTTCTAGGCTTATTTTATGGCTGCAAAGTGTAGGACTTAGCCCCTTCAAGTCTGCCAAAGTCCAACCAATTGCTTGGCTATTCTCTCGCAGGACTCTTAGGAGGTTTTCTTCCTGATTTTTGGTCAAAGCACTGGAAATAATCACTGGTAGGGTCTGATCTGGACCTAGAAATGCATACTTAAGGTCGTCGGGCAGGTCTTTAAGATCAAGTTTAGGTGGAGAGACTAAGGATGGAGCTAGCTTAGGTCTGTTCTCAAGTAACTCAGCCCTAAACACAGGTTGGCTAAGGTTCTCTAGCTCCTCGAAATCAGCAAGGTATTCAACTAAGTTCAAAACTTCACTAGACAAACTGTACTCTAAGCATTCAAGTTCTACCCTGTCCAGGCTATTGCACAACACAGAATCAAGCACATCATCACTAGACAAGTTAAAAACAGCTTGAGCACAATCATCAATCACATCCATAGAACAAAGTTGATTATTTTCAATGGGACTTTTCATCGCAGAGGATAAGTTAAATTCAATCTTTTCACCATCAAATTCCAGTGACAAAACCCCATCATAAACATCAATCTTAGCTCTAGCAGTTTTCATAAAAGGTCTACCAAGAAGAATGGGTATGTCAGAGGTATCAGAACCCATGCTCAACACATAAAAATCAGCGGGAAAAACTAAGTCATTGACTTTCACCAAGATATCTTCAAGAAGACCCTCGGGATAAGTATAACTCCTATCGGCTAACTAAATCACTACTCCTGTCGGTTTCAATTCCCCAATATTAAGCTTATCAAAAATGTCTTTGGGCATTACATTAATAGAAGATCTTAAATCCAACATGGCTCTATCAAAGTGCAAATCACCAATAAGACAAGGAATGGTAAAAACACCAGGATCCTTACATTTTGGAGGAATTTTCTTTTGAAAAACTGCAGAGACATTTTCACCCATTCGTACCCGTTCATTCCCCGTTAGCCTATTCTTGTTGGTGCAAAGCTCCTTTAGAAACTTAGCATATTTAGGGACTTGCTTAATAGCTTCTAAGAGAGGTAAATTAATCTCTACCTTCTTAAAAGTATCAAGAAGTGCAAGATCAATTTCTTTAGGCTTTCTAGGTTGAAAGAATTTGCTAGGGAAGGGTGCCTTAGGGTGAGGTAGGGCTGGATTTCTATCACTAAGGTCAGTTTTCCNCCTATTGTTCATTTGAGCTTGCATATTACTAATCAAAGTTTCAGAGGCTGTTTGTCTTTCTTGAAGTTGCTTAAGACTTATGTCAACCGAAGTAAATTTATCATCCATCTTTTTAAGCACTTGTTCTAACATATGGGTTGCCCTATCTTGCTGGGGAGGTGGATTATTAGAAAAATTCAGATTATTACCCCTGGGAGGACCATAACGCAGATTTGGATGATCTCTCCAACCCTCGTTATAAGTGTTAGAAAAAGGATCATACTTCTTTTGGTTGTTATTATTGAAAAACAAAGCATTGACTTCAGGATTTTGGAGTGTTGGACACGCATCAGTAGGATGTCCTTCCAAGCAACACACTCCACAAGGTTTACCCTTACTACCCCCTACATTACCCACAACAAGTTTAGAAATAGCATCAGTTAAGGCAGAAAGCTTATATTCTAAAGAAGACGAATTACCTATCTCGCTAACCGGCCTCACGACGGTATCTCGAGTTCCAAATTGTTGAGTATTTTGGGCAATAGTATTAAAAAGCTCCCTCGCTTGAGCGGGGGTTTTGTTCACTAATGCACCACCGCTAGCGGCATCAACAATGCCCCTCTCGGTAGGCAAAAGTCCTTCATAAAAATATTGGATTAACAGCTGTTCAGTTATTTGATGTTGAGGACAAGAACAAACAAGCTTATTAAAACGCTCCCAATACTCAGAAAAGTTCTCCCCATTCAACTGTTTAACCCCACAAATCTCTTTCCTAATCGACCCAATCCTAGATGCCGGAAAAAATTTCTCAAGAAAAGCTTTATGAAGGTCGTTCCACGTTGTGAAAGATCCAGCTGGCATATAGTAAAGCCAATCCTTGGCCTTATCGGAAAGGGAAAAAGGGAAGGCTCTAAGTCTGATTTAGTCAGGAGAGACTCCTTCAGGCACCATTGCACCACAAGTGATCATAAATTCAGATATGTGCCTAAAAGGATCCTCTCCAGGAAGACCATGAAACTTAGGAAGAAGATTGATAAATCGAGAATTAAGTTTAAGGGGTTTTTCCAACTCACCATAAGTAATGGAAATAGGTTGAATGGTCAAGTCAGGTGCAGCTAATTCTCTAAGAGTACGGTTAGGGGCTGCCATCTTAGAACTAGCTTGATTATAAACGGTTGATTCTTTAAAATCAGATTCACTTATGTTTTGCACGCATACACTCACAGGTGTAATTTCAGATATGGTAAGAGCAGACCCAAACAGTTCCACAAGATTATCCAAATTAAAAGAAGGTTCGGCTTCACTTACCTGGTCGCTATTACTACCTGTTTCACTTTCTCTTTCTTCACCAGTTATTTTACCACTTCTTAAGCGCATAAACACAAGCTGCACAAGTTGAAAACAATGCAGTATCAGTGTTTCTTTAAAACACTTTAAAGAAAGGAAACGAGACAATTTTATACAAAGAGAAGCACTTAAATTCTTAAATAAGGAAAAAAATCAGATTCTTTGTAAAAAATTAAGCTCAAAAATCAAACTCCAGAATCAGATTTTTAACCATTTTTACATTTTTAGAACATATATCAGCATATATTGATTAGAAAACAAGTCCCAAAATGCCCCGTGTACTTTGAAATTAGTTCAAATGCTTGTATTTTAGCCAATAGAGTTCAAATTTCAGTATTAAGGCATCTTAGGAACTTAAGAATCAACATAAAAAGGAAAAAAAATACTGCAGTTTTTTTAAAGAAAAAAAAACAGCAACTTTAGATCAGGATTTTTCCAGAAAAAACTGCACTTAAAACCTCACAAATTTGACCCTTGACATCATGTAATGCATCTAAATATTGTCCTTAAGATAGATATATCAATGATAGTGCATATTCTTAGCAAAGGAGCATTTTAAGAGGCAAAAACAGCATGAAGAAAAAAAACTAAAAGTGCAGATTATAAAAAAAAACAGCAAGAAGAGTTCAGATTTTTACAAAATTAGGCACGAATTCATGCATAGTAAGTATATTCAGGCTGAATATAGAACATACAATGACGCATACAAGTTAAACTTAGTTCCGACTCTAATAGTTCACATATATACTCAAAGTTACTAGAAAGTTAAAAAAAAAGAACATGCTTACAAGAATAATTATGCATACGAAACTGATTTTTTACAAAACAATTTCCCCGGCAACGGCGCCAAAATTTGTTGGGGACTTGTCGTGCGGTCCAAAACAAATTAAAAATTTATAAATATCCTTAACTAACCCCCAAGATATAATCAAATAAAAACTATAGCTAGGGCAAGTAGGGGTCGATCCCACGGAGAAATGTTGTACTTTTTAAAACCAATTTAGCATGCAAACACATTGTCACGAAAATAAATATAAAAAAAAACAAACTACTACACAGATGATAATACTTATAAAACTTATAATAAAACTTATAACTACATAAATTTAAAAACTTATAAATATAACTTATATAAACAAAGAACTATAATATAACTAAAAACATAAAACACATACTTAAGATATACTAAAAAAAAGGTATAAAAACTTATATTTATAACTTGAAACACGAGGGGGGGGTTGAATAAAAAGTAAATACTTTTGGTTTTTATATTTTCTTATTTTTTTTGGTTCTTTTTTATAAAATGGGGGAAAACAAGCTCAAAAGATAATCAACTTCTTCAACCGAGGTAACCCGAAAAACACCGCCAAGAACCCGAAACAAAATTTAAAAAAAACGAACACAAATCGAACATTACACGTATAATAGGCACGTAGACAATATATTACGTAACTTACGCACTTAAGAATAGGAAAAACAATCAAAGACCGAGTCGATTCATTTCCTTAACCACGATATGGAGGATTGTCAACTCTCCACACGGCCCGGAGTCATGCAATTCAAAGGCCCGTTTTGAAATATACCTTAGAACCCCAACTCTCTATTCAAGCATGAAAACATACTTCCACTATAGAAAAAGTTTATAAAAGAGAGAATCTATTATGCATTCAACTCTCATACATAGTCTATTCACAAACCGCCAATACCCTATGCAT